CCCTGCTTCAAATGCTGTTTATCAGATTCCAATGGTCGTCTGTTGACTGGACACTGCGTGCAAACTGATCGGACGCTCAGCCTCCAGCATCCGGTCGTTTTCAATAAGGTTCTAGAAACGATATTTCACGACCGGACGCGCCCGATCATGCTTGACCGGACACAGCTAGCGTATAATCACTTGTTGACTTCACACTGCGCCGTTGGTCAACACGACCGGACACATCCCTCCAGCGTCCGGTCGTTGAGCGACCCAACGTCCAGTCGTATGACCGACGCCAGCATCTTCGCTGTTACAACTAATCGGACACGCTGGTTCCACTGAGACCAGCGTCCGATCACTTTGTGACCAGCGAGACCAACTCCTCTTCACGTCTATCTTCTTCACCCTTGCTCAAATGTGCCAACCACCAAGTGTATCACCTTGTGCACATGTGTTAGTATATTTTCACAAACATTTTCAAGGGTGTTAGCACTCCACTAGATCCTAAATGTACATGCAATGAGTTAGAGCATCTAGTGGCACTTTGATAACCGCATTCTGATACGAGTTTCACCCCTCTTAATAGTACAACTATCAAACCTAAATGTGATCACACTCTCTAAGTGTCTTGATCACCAAAACAAAATAGCTCCTACAAAATATACATTTGCCTTGAGCTTTTTGTTTTTCTCTTTCTTCTTTCCAAGTCGAAGCACTTGATCATCACCATGCCATCATCATTATCATGCTATGATCTTCATTTGCTTCACCACTTGGAGTGTGCTATCTATCTCATGATCATTTTGATAAACTAGGTTAGCACTTAGGGTTTCATCAATTCACCAAAACCAAACTAGAGCTTTCACACGGTGGTATAACCTTCTTGCTCACTCTCTTTACATTACCGCAAACCAGTTGTCAAGCTCTTTAGTGTAGTTAGTTGTGAGAGCTTGTTAGTTTGGTTAGTGTGGCTCTTTAGTTAGATTTTGAGAGCACACTAACTTAGTGTAGTGACATAGCTATTGTGTGGAAAGAAACTATATAAACTAGAATTGTGGTAGGTGGCTTGCAATTTTAGTAGGCTAGCGCAACACTTGCTTCGCCTCATAATTGTCTAACCGGTTTGTTAAGTGTTGTTGTAGAAATTTTTATTAGGCTATTCACTCCCCCTCTAGCCATTAGGACCTTTCAGTACTCAAACTCCCCGTTACAACCCTCTCTGGCGTAATGGTGTGATTCGAGCTCCGATGGCCCCACTAGATAGTTCGTGGGCGCTTTGATTTTTCCCGCACTTTGCAAAGGCAGCACCGGATCCCACTGGTGCCACCACTCTGGTGCGTAGCGGAGGCAATGTGCTGGGCTAAAATTTCTCTCAAGTTAGGGCACTAACCGAGAGCTCCGGTGCCACACCGGACAACTTCGGTGAGTGCAAAACAACACTACCAACAACTCTTATCTCCCACTTTGCAAGTGGGCCAACTCCCAAATGTTTTGCTAAGTATCTAAGCACTTGAGTTAGGATTTCCTAAAGTGTTTTCAAAACATTTTCGCTTCCTACACTCTAATGCAAACGCATATAACTCAACTCCTAGTGGCACTAGATGACCGTGTTTGCTCTTAGAGTTCCCCTCTTATAGTACAACCATCTATCCAAAATCTGACCACACACTCTTTTGCGTCTCGACCGGTGAAAACAAAACCCTATCAAACCTTTTGTCTTCGGTCTTGCTTCCACCTCTTCACCTTCTCTAAGTGTGAGCTTGCTCCATTTGGATTGATCACCCTTCATCCACCTTCAAGCCTTGCTCACCGTCTTGGTGTGGACCTAACCTAGCTTAATCAACACTTAGCAAGAGGCTAATCCACTAGTTGTACCCATTACCAAAACCAAACATGGAGCTTTCATTTGTTATTTTTTTTTGAGAATCACATGGAGCTTTTCACTTGGGAGGAGAAGATAGTGGCGAGGCAAGCCTAGGAAGAGGCGATGCAGGCCAACCATCGGTAGCCCACAGGCCACACTGACAACTTCTATATGGCTTCCACTACTCCTCTTAAGTCCATATGTGCCTATAGAGGCAAGATACCAACAGTTCTACATGGTGACGGAGGCAAGCGGCCATACGGATGGAAGTAGTTCAGAGAATTAGAAAGAGGCAAATTGGTGTTGGGCTAAAGGTGAGTGAGTGCGTGGGCTTGATGTTCCAAATACACTGTACAAGCTCTAGGAGAACATGCCTCCACATCCATTACTTGTCATTCACCACATCAGTCAACATATTCATTGTTGTGATCAACATACATATTCATTCAATATTTAATGATCAACAACTCAATAATTGTTCTATGGTTCATTACATCATTTTTTAAAAAAAAGGCTAACAAAGTAGATATTATAGTTCTTTAGACTAAGGAATGAATACCTTAGTCAGGATTAGTGGTGCTAAATATATTTTGCGGCTAAGCTAAATAGTGGTATTTAGTGGAGCTAAAGCATCATTAACAGTAATAGCGAAGAAATTGACAATATCATTGACGTAGACTAAAAAAATATTTTGCGAGGCTAGGGGTGATTATGACGGCGACCTGCACGCGAGAGGTCCGGTCGCATCCCTTAGGCAAGCAAGGCGACATATCGCTCCTGCGGCCCGCATCTCCAACGACCACCGCGCCTCTTACGTCCCGCACGAGAGCAAGGCTTCTGTGGCCTGGCACCGCCGTGCAAGCAAGGTGACGATAGCTCCAAGGCCCGTGCGCGTGGAAGGAAATGATAGCTCCGTAGGCCCGCATGCGAGCGAGGCGAACATGGCTCCGACTGCCCTGGCGCATGGGAGACAAGCACTAGGATAGTGGATCCGGCCTCCAACGTGTGTGGGAGTCAAGCATTGCGACGTAGACCTGCACCGCCGCCCGATAGCGAGGTGAGGGTGGCTATCGCACGGAACTAGTAACCCGCTGGTAACCCACCCCACCCGATGGGATATGACCGGTGGGAAATGAGAATGACATATCCCATTTCCTATTCGTCTTTATTTCTTTTTTCCTAAAAACAAACAATGGATAAGCTATCCAACACCCCTCATTTCCATATCTCACCCTATATCACGGTATCGCAACGGCACCTTCTTATTTTTGGCTAAGTCAGGAGTCAAGACGAGAGGCTTACGGATGATGCTAGCGCTCATGGACAGAGCTAGATTCCAGAGATTGATCTTGTGTTATGCAAGTTGATGTAATCCATCGATCACTACTTAATACTCGATGTGTTTCTAAAAGAGATAGAAACGGGTTTTCTAATAGATACTAGTATTTTTTCTGTATATAATATTAAAGAGACAAATTTTAGCTCTTTTTTTTGTCCATCTCTCACTAACTATCGGACACAGAGAGTTTCTTCCGCCCGACATACACCCTCGTATGTATCCGGAACTTATATGACCCGTGCCCGTGAGAATAACTTGCGTATAATGATAACAGAGAACTCCAATTCAAAGACGTACTTTGCCGCACCCTCTATATCCCGATGTAACCCGACTCGTGCTCTGTTTTTGGCCGTTGTGTTTTCTGTCGCTCGTGTTCTCAAACTCGACGCCGGACGCCGTGTTGCTTGTCGCGCTTTGTTTACATGTCTTTTTATTGTGCTCGATTTTTCTGTTTCTTTTTTTGTTTATTACGCGACTTCAAAAATAAATAATAAATATAGTATTATAGATTTTTAAACCATTGATTTTTTTTTTAAAAAAAAGATTTATACCACCGAATTGATGACGATGTTTTGATTGGAAACAAATTATAAATCTTTGAACTATCCATGTGTTGCTAAAGATTTACACCACAAAATTGATGATGTTTTGATTAGAAATAAAAACTTATTCTTACTAGAATCTAGATTAGCGGATGGTTCGATTAATTAAACAACAGTAAAAATAATTTTATATCCGTAGTGTCCTAGCATATGGAAAATCAAAAGAGGTCTCTTTTCATAATCCTCGGGATAGACCAATTCTTGACACGTCTGTAAGTAATTCCTTGCACACTTTAATCATAGATTAGACCTTTGTTTAGAAAACAAAGATTTACACCACAAATTTGATGATGTTTTGATCATAAATAAAAAAAATTGTTCTTACTAAATCTAGAATAGTCGATGGTTCGACTAATTAAACCGCAATATAAATAAATGTATATATGCAGTCTCCAACAAGGGGATATGGAAAATCAAAAAGTTTTTTTTTCATAATCCTCAGTGGATAGAATAATTCTTGACACGTCCATAAGTAATTCATTGCCCACTTTACTCGTAGATTAGAATTACATATTTTTATGAGTCCTCAAAGAAAGTTTTAAAGGGCTTTTTTTTTTAACTTTAGTGACACATGGATAGTATGAAAAATAAAGTTACGATATATTGACATCTAAATTTTCTATGCTTTGCAACCTGATAATCTATTGAAGTTGTATTTTAACACAAAATACAAGCTTAATAGGAAATTGTCACATTATTGACAACATTAACTTACATTGTGGATGTCATGGCTATCATAAAATAAATTATAGATTTTAAATTTGTAGAAAGGATAAAGCATAAAAAAGACATGTATGCAACAGGATAAAAAAACTATCAAATGTTAATGAGAAACAACGACGGGAATGTTTGCATATTTGCTAGTAAAAAAAATTGAACTGAATAGTATTTTCTTACGAGAATATTCTTTTTCTCTCATGATGAACAGTGTTTCGCAGCAGAAAGGATAAAGCGCGGACGGTGGACTGCGGCGGCCCATGATCTCCATTCTCCGTTCCGTCGCGGGCGGGCCGGCCCAGATGTGAACCCCTCGCGTTGCCAAATAAAGAAACCTGTACTGTGCTGGCCCCAACCCCAGTGTTGACTATTCCCACCCTCGCCCTATTTATAGCCTCCTACTCCCATCTCTCTCGTCCTCGCCGAATTGACCTCCATAAACCAGGGGAGAGGAATTAGAAAACAAAATTGAATCGCAAGGCTAGGTAGGGCGGAGATGAACGTTGCGGAGGAGGAGGTGAGCATGGAGGGGTTGGAGAAGGGCGGCGCTAGCGGCGGTGTTCGCGATGGCGAGGTGAGGACGGCGGCGGCGGTGAGCCTGGAGACGCTGCGGAAGCGGATGGCGGACTTCGCGACGGAGCGGGACTGGGAGCAGTTCCACTCCCCCAGGAACCTCCTTCTCGCCCTGGTCCGTCTGCTTCACTTCTCTTCTCTTGCGATATCTCTATCTCCAATTTTGTAGAATCTTGCTCAAGTTCATTTGGCTACTTAGATTAATTTGGGGTTTCGCGAGGGTTCTTCGTTCCTGCTGCGTCGAGATATATATATTTTTTTTTCAAAAAAAAAGGGGGATATGGGTGGGTGTAGGCGGTCCAGTTCTTGGCTTCTTGCCCAGAGAAAAGAGAATGATTAGCTGCAGAAAAGCCTTGTCGTCCTTGAGTCCGTCCGTCTCCGTCCCCCGGACCCCCGTAGTTGTCAGGCCCGTCACTTTTTGTTCTCTTTCTTCCAGTACCACATTGCGAGGCTAATGCCCAGAATCTGCGCTGCTGTCCTGTTGCCTGTGTTGGCTTGGTCAAAATCTCACACGATGCGTGTGGTTTCGCTCGCGGGGAACGCAGGGGAGAAAGAGGGTAGAGTAGAAAGGGAAAGGCACTGAGGAATCCATCTCTTAGGCCCTGTTTGGTTTGTGCGCTCCTAAAATTCCTGTCACATCGAATGTTTAGACACATGCATGTATTATTAAATATAGACTAATTATAAAACTAATTACACAACTTGCGACTAATTTGAGAGACAAATCTTTTAAGCCTAATTAGCCTATATTTGACAACTTAGTGCTACAGTAAACATGTGCTAATGACAGATTAATTAGGCTTAAAAATTCGTCTCGCAAATTAGCCTCTATGTATGTAATTGGTTTTGTAATTAATTTATATTTAATACTCTTTATTAGTATCTAAACATTCGATGTGACATGAATTTTACGAACGACTAAAGAACCAAACACCCCCTTAGAATGGTTCAAGATGGTACTAGCATTATAAGATGATGACATTCGTTATTCGATGAAAACATGGGTGGTCAAATCAAATGCTACTACTGTAGTACTGTTCATCGGTTTGCTAAACCCGGGAACCGACCCGTACCCAATCCTTCCAGGGCCGGACCAACTATATTGTACACGGGCTGGGTTGGTTTCCATCAAAACCGGCATCATGGCAAAGCAGTTCTTATGGGTCACGGGTAGAACCCAAGGAACCCGTGCAACCCGTCGTCTCTTCGGCGATGCCGATGTAGATGAGCGTGGCGGCGGGGATGATGACGAGCGGCCGGACAGCGGTCCAGGCGGCAGCCCCGCTGCGCCGCACCCGAGTTGGCCAAGCTTCACCTGCACCACGACCATGCCGTGCTGCTGCTGCCGCCGCCCGCCGTGAGGGCTGTCCAGCACCAGCGTGTCATCACCGTCGACGTGATTGAGTCCCTGAACATGTGCGACCCGTACCTCACATCTGCCTTGTCTGGTTCCGGTCCGGTGGCAGCGTCCTTCTCTGCTGCCGCGTTGCCCGCGTTTGCCCCATTGCGTCCATCGTCGGCGTTGTACTTGTAGCTGAAAAGGCCTCACGCGATGGCAACCCAAACGAATTAAACAACAGAACAACAGTGAACAGGTGCAGCAGCTCCCACACTTTGGCCAAGACCCAAGAACGCATGGCCGGCTGCCCGGCTCAGCCGGCCCTGACGTCGGCTGCCTGTGTTGGAAGCAGCGGCAGCAGCGTGAGCACGCCACGCTGAACGGGAAGCTCGTCGTAGTGGCACAGGTGCTTGCAGGGTCATTGCTCTGCTCCCTCAGGTGGCAAGACCATTATCACGAACCTGCAGCCGCAACGAACGGATGATGGATCCATGGCGGATGCGAGGACCCCCACACGGAGCGCGGCGTGATTGATCGGTGCCGTTTGGACGACGATGCCTGCGCCCACGTAGGAGGAGGACACAAGGACGCTGCCACGGCCATGGGGCGGCGAGGGTAGGTGCGAACGCATTGCTGGAGGCCTACAGAGCTGCAGAAGAGGAAGTACACGAAGGCGAGCACGTGGAAGGACACAAGGTCGGACTCAGCGTGGTCTCATCGGCGCCGCGGTTGCCCGTGCGGTCGGTGCCATCGGCGAGCCTGGACCCGTTGGAGGAGGGCCGCCACGCCAGGCACAGGATGGTGGCGAGAGTGAGGATGGAGTTGCGGCTGCAGGCACATGTTCATGATGCCATTCAGCGCGGTGACGTGGATGCTAGTGCGCCGCCAGTCGCGATGTCGCCCTCCGTGTGGAACCCGGTGAAACCGCAAACCAACCCAAGCCAGCGATTCATCGTGACAGCATGGAAACCGTCGGAAACCAACCCAGCCCGTTACATACGCTACACATGCGGGTTGGGTCGGAAATTAACCAGAACCTGGGAAACACGGACCATGTACAGGGTTGGCTACAGTACAATGCCCATCTGCACGGACCGAACAGTGAGCTGCAGTCCCTTTTTGTGGGGTTGGGGGAGAGGGAGGTGCTAGTGCTACATTGCTTCGCATTCAATGCTGGCATGTACAGTATGGACCAATGGTCCAGAATGTTTCAAGCATTGTGAATGTTAAGGTCTAAACAAATAATTTGGTTCTATGATATGGGATTTGCAGCTCGCATTGTTTAAGGTGCCAAAATTATAGTTGTTAATTATATATGTTTTGTGTCTAATGGCTAGTCATGTTTCATTTGTGTTGTACATTGATATGTGAGGGTGAATGAATATGTTGTATTCTTCGGGTGATAAATTTAAACCTAAGTTTCTTATTGTATGAAAAATTGATTAGTGTAAAACTAACTACAATTTATTAAGCCATGCACCTCATTTTTCATCACATTTTAGTTCATCCATTTGGTGTCTAATACCTTCTGAAGTTGTTTGTTGGTTGACCTAAATGTTTTATGGTATACTATGATTTGAAGAAAAAAAAAGCTACATTCTCTTATCTAATCTACATTGTTGAAATATGTGTGCATGGGTATCTAAGCAATCCACCCAAAGCAATAGGTTAGGTAGGAGAGATTGTTTTTCTTTTTTTGTGAAAATTTACAGTATAATCACAGGAAAAATAAAAATAAAATTTATAAACTTTAGTTTTTTCAACTTTTTGTTATGGAGCATGTGCAGGATTTTCTCTAAACCTTTCCACTAGTAGTTTAGCAACTTATGTAAGGGAAATGACCTATACTAGTTAGCACTCGGTTTTTAGTTTCTTTGGAGAATATGAAATAAACCTGAACAATACATACTCCTTCCGTCCCAAAATAGTTGACACTTTAGCTATGAATCTGGTCTCAACTATTTTGGGACAAAGGGAGTAGAACAGGTGCTTCTTCACTTATATTAACCTAGAAACGCCATAACGCATCCACCACCCAGACCCCCAGAGACTGCAACAGTAAAGCAGACTTCAATACTGCCGTCCTGCGGATCCTGAGAGAAGATGCCAATACACATCCTGTTGCAATCGTTCTCTTTCTGTTGTCTTTTGACTATTAGATTATCCAAATCAAAAGTTTCAATGAGCTGGACTTAAGCAGGATCCCACTCGCTGCACCAGATGCCAATTGGTTTCTGCTACTTCTGTACTCTTTTGTTGTGGTGGGGACTAACAAAAGGTTATATACAACACCCTTTCTTTCCAAGTGTTGCCCAGCTAGGAGATGCCCATAATGGGCAATGTGTAAGCTACTAACTAGCTCCTGGGTGTAGTATAATCTAATGGCTCCCAGCCAAACCTTTCCATGGATTTTCATGTCCCTTATCGTGCATGTTTGTGCTTGGTGTTGTGCAGGTAGGGGAGGTGGGGGAGCTGTCAGAGATATTCCAATGGAAAGGGGAGGTGCCCAAGGGGCTGCCAGGCTGGGACGATGTCGAGAAGGAGCACTTGGGTGAGGAACTCGCCGATGTGCTCCTCTATCTGGTGCGGCTGTCGGACATGTGTGGCGTCGACCTCGGCAAGGCTGCCCTGCGCAAGATGGAGATCAATGCCCGCAAATACCCAGTTGGGCAGTGCAAGGGTTCATCCAAGAAGCACACTCACTACGGTTCCACTAACAATGTTAGCGACAGCGACAATGCTAACACCGCGAACAAGGAGAATAACAGTGGCATCTAAAACGACTCGGAGCTCCTTGAATGATAGTTTGGCTGGTCGGACATGATCTAGGTTATGTGCTGATGAAATAGGGATGCTCTATTTTGGTGGTACCTTGAATGATAGTTTGGCTGGTCGGACATGATCTAGGTTATGTGCTGATGAAATAGGGATGCTCTATTTTGGTGGTAAAGGAACATGTATGTGGGTTCAAGTTCCCCTATATATTAGATGCCTAATGAACCAAGTGTTAACCACAAAGCTTCGTAGGCTGTAGTTCACCTTGTGTATTCTAATTGGACTGGCATTTTGCTTCTGCTGTTTCAGTTATGCAGCTGCGTAGTGGAATGATGCGAAAGCAAAGCTGACTATATTTGCTTGCTGTAGTGGTACTAGTGTTGAGTACTGACACTACTTTATGATGCAAAGCGGCTTTCTGACAAATGCAAAGTTGTCAGTGTAGTCTACGAGCTGGTGTTGGACTGTCGGTGATTGGTGAATGTCATTGACTCTCTAGTCCTTGTATCAGTACAGATGAACAAAGATTATTATGAGGCCTTTATGAACAGAGGTTGACAAGTGGACCTGAGTTCTGGCATGTCCAAGCTTAGGAAGCTTTGCTTTGCTTATTGGTATATGGTAAGGATTCTCCGGGAAATCTTTGGATGTGCACAGCCTATAGAGCCTGTAGGGATTAATTGATCATAATGCTCTGGTCTGCTCAGTGGAGTCCAATGGATGCTGCTCCAGGTACTAACTGCTTTGGGGGTGCCTACGGACTGGAACCACTGGGTGCAAATTGTGGGCATCTTTTTTTTTTTTGGTATATTTCGATTGTTGCCAACTTACCTTACTGTCGCGGGCCCTAATATATACAAAATTCAGTATCAATTATTTCCCCTTCAAATGAACAAATACCAAAAATAAAATAATGGGTCATGTACTGGCATCTACTTGTGGCGATGAATTTCTGTATATTTCTTGTTCATTTGCAAGACTGTTGTGTAGATTTGTGGCGCCAGTACAATGAGTGCATATATGATGAAGTGTAATATTTGAGACTTCAAGAGCCTGAATTATCCTGCTGGGAATATGATTTGATTTGCTCTGTTACAGGCCGAGGCATGTAAAAATGTTAAATCAAGAAGCTATCGACATCAGTTACGCAACTTCTTTTCAAATACCCATGAGAGCTGAGTATCGTCGGGACCAATACTAGGATACTCGAAGAGGAGGAATTAATGATCATCAATATTGATTCATCCGAGCAGTCAAGAGCGCGACTATAGCTTCAACCGACCCTCAGGTGCGTGGGCTCTGCCTCGCCCGACCTTTGGGTCGGGCCCCCGCTTCGCCGACCTCTGGGTCGGGGGCCCCACCTCGCTTGACCTCTGGGTTGGGGGCCCCGCCTCGCCCGGCCTCTGGGTCGGGAGATCCGTCTCGCCCGACCCCTCAGGCGTGGCTCCTGACGGAAGCCCATACCGCCGCCAACCACTACGATTCAAAAAGTATAACCCAAGGTCAAACTTCTAGCATCGTGCAGGGAGCGGGCACATCTCAACAGGACCCATGCCCGCGACATGTCACTCCAGGGAACTCACATCACCAACAGTGACGGACGCATGGTCACTATGATGCCTACTCCCTGTACGGCCGCTGACCAGCACGCTGGTTCGCCGCATCGCCCGTCGAGATGGAATGGGACGTCATGACCCGCTGACAACGCCGGGGCGTGGCATCAGCGGTGAATAGGCGCCCCGCGTGGAGCCATCCCTGTCACCATCTACAGTGTCGCGGGACCCACATAAAGGAGAAGAAAGGCCCGGCGGTCCTAGAAGCCTTCCTCTCCTTGGCTCTTCTCCCTCTTTCTCTCTGTGTAACCTGCTCTTCCCCTTTGTCTATAAAAGGGGAAGCATGACGCCCTAGGAGAGGAGACGGCGGTTCACCACTCTACACGGCTGTAGACATCAAAACACACGCCCTAACACGCCTTAGGAGCACACGCACATCAGAGACTTGGGACCTGTCCCTCTCTCGCTCGTTTGTAACCCCTACTATAAACTTTTAGTGCTAGTAACGCGAGCAGCAGCGACGAACTGGACATAGGGACTTTCTGCCCGAACTAGTATAAACCTCGTGTCCTCTAAGCACACCATCCGAGCCAGACGCGCAATACTAGAAATTTACTAGTTGATAACTCGAAACACCGATAGTTGGCGCGTCAGGTAGGGGCTTTTTGCGCGTCTCGACGTCCACATCAGCCTCGGATGGCTAGTCACGACGTCAGCTGGGTCCCGGGCGCGCACATGTGCTTTGGGAACCTGGACTTCATCGTCACGACGAGGGGAGAGTTGGCACAGGCTCCCGTCGCCCTCCAACCTCTCCACTCGGCCGGCCTCGACACGATTGCCAAGGCGCTTGAGGAGCTGCGGCTGCACGCACCAGAGGCCCGTGCCCCCGGGAGCGACCAGCTCCTTGGCTTCGATTATGGGAGGCTAGAATGCCAGCTCGGTGCCTTCCTAGGACCCTGACCGTCCTGGGAGGACCTAGGCCGCCTCACCTTCTCGTTCGCCAACGTCATGACGCAGCTTGCCGGAGGAGAGCTGCTTTTCTCGGAATACCTCATCCGGAGCGCCCCGACAGCGCTCCCGTTCGGTCTGCGCAACACCGCCAAGACCGTTAGCCACCTTGTGGCGCAACGCACGCCCCCATCCCCTACGAACGACGAGTTCGTGGGGATGACCGAATATGTCGTAGAATCTTTCCACGACCTCCTCGCAGGAGAATCGGAGTCGCCCTCCAACTTTGACTCCAGCAGGGGGAGCCATCACCCCTCTCGTGAATGTTTCATGGCAGGTACCCCTGAGGGGTACGTCAAAAGCATCCACGAGGGAGAAGCTACCCCAATGAATGACTTTGACGACGAGGTCGAGGGGGATGCAGTGGCCTCACCTCGCCTATGGGTAGAGCAGTTGAAGGCACGACACCAAGAGCTCGAGGAAGCATGACTCCAACTCAAGTAGGAACATGCGGAGCTCGAACGAGAGATCGAGCGCCATGGAGACGGTGGCGTGCGCACGCCGTGTCCCGCGACGTGAACTGGAGGATCATCGAGGACGACGAAGCCCTCCCACACTTCACCCGGGCAAGCCAGAACATCGCTGCTGCGGCAGCCTTGCTCCGGGGGCTTCTGGGGCCCACGACACCCGAGGATCGTTGGGCCCATCGCAAGATTCGCACACTACTCGAGCGTGCGGCGACGCAACAAGCCGAGAGCTCGTTGTCCTGATGACGCGAGCTCGACGCCAGCCAGCGCACGCCCTTAGAGCAGCCCAACAGGGACGTGTCAGTCCACCAGACGTAGCAAGGCGGCAGGCCACGCGCCGTGGTCTCGGTGCATGAACGTCTCGGCCTCTACCGTGACGCACGCGACACCCTCGACGCCCAGGCATACCCACGCGGCGATGCGAGGGAGGAGGCTAGCCGCGGCTACCACCCTCATCGTGGCGGGCGCTACAATAGAGGCGAAGACCGAAGCCCGAGCCCCAACTTGCTGGGACCTCAGGCCTTTGGCCGACACATCCTCAACACCGCCTTCCCACCGCGGTACTGACCGCCGACCAACATCTCAAAATACTCTAGGGAAACGAACCCCAGACTGTGGCTCGAGGATTATCGGCTTGCTTGCCAAGCCAGTGGAGTGGATAATGACGATTTCATTATCTGCAACCTTCCATTGTTCCTGGCCGATTCAGCACGAACGTGGTTGGAACACCTTTCGCCTAACCGAATCCAAAGTTGGGTGGACCTAAAAGAGGTCTTCGTGGGAAACTTCTTGGGCACATACGCGTGTCCTGGGAACCCATGGGATCTCAAAAACTACCGATAGAAGTCTGGGGGAACTCTTCGTGGGTACATCTGGTGCTTCTCCCGACAGTGCAATGAGCTGCCCAACATCACCGACACTGACATCATAGGAGCTTTCCTGTCTGGGACCACCTATGAGTCCCTGGTTCACAAGCTAGGACGTAAGGGCCCGTGAACCACCAAGGAGCTCCTCGACATCGCCACTAGCCACGCCTCAGGCGAGGAGGCGGTCGGGCGATTTTTAACCACCTCAAAGGCAAGTCAAAGCGGGACAAGGACCCCTGCGAAGGCGCCTCCAACCGTCCCAACAAAAAGAAGAACAAGCAGCGGCGCGAGGGCTGGCTTGTGGCCACCGCCGATCGTAAAGGGGGTCGGAAGCGCCGAGGGTACCCTAGACCACTTCAAGAAGCTGCTCGAAGGGCCATGCCCGAACCATGCTTTTCCTGTCAAGCACCTATACAAGGATTGTGTTCTCATGAAGCGGTTCTTGTCCGGAGGCTCCAACAAGGGGGAGCATAGGAAGGAGCCCAAGCCGACCACAGACGACGCTGAGGGGAAGGACGGTGGATTTCCGGCGCTGGATGGCTGCCTCATGATCTTCGGAGGGTCGGTGGCCTATGACTCCAAGCGCCACCAGAAGCTTGCTCACCGTGAGGTCTATATGATCGAGCTAGCCGTGCCTACCTTCCTCGAATGGTTGGAGCCCGCCAAAACCTTTGATCGGACCAACCACCCGGAAAAGCATCCCACGGTCGGGAAGATATCCACTTGTGGTCGACCCAATCATCGGCACGAAGCGGCTCACCAAAGTGCTGATGGATGGAGGCAGCGGCCTCAACATCATGTACGCTGAAACGCTTCGACGCCATAACATCGACCGAGCGCGCATCCTTCGCCAACCGGGGCGCCTTTCCATGGCATTGTGCCAGGAAAGCAGACTGTACCACTTGGGCAGATCAATCTACCCGTCACCTTCGGGGATCCGACCAATTATAGAATGGAGACCCTTACCTTCGAGGTGGTCTGTTCCACGGAACCTACCATGCCATCCTGGGACGCCCATGCTACGTGAAGTTCATGGCCATCCCCAACTACACCTATCTAAAGTTAAAGATGCCGGGTCCACGCGGGGTCATCACCATCGGCACCTCCTT